ATGTAGAGGGGAGGGGGGGTGGGTTCTGAAGTGTGAGGCAGGGCGCCCGCGGCCTGAGGTGATTTTAGCCGGGGCGAGGGCGGATTTGAGGGGCTGCCGGCGCCCCTCAAAGCCCCTTTCTGGAGAGGGGATATGACAGTTTGAAAAGCGGATCAAGGGTCTGAACCGCTTGACGCCAACGCTGCGGCCGCAGCATGGCGGCTGCCCCTGCGGCGACGCCCCCGCAGCCGCCGGCACCTCGCTCCTGCGCCCTGCGCCCCCGTGGCACTGCCTACGAGGCCCCGCCAGGTGCCGCCGCCGCCTGCGACCGGCCCGCCGCCAAGCCCTGTGAAACCCCCCATATGATGCAGGCGATCAACTGCCCGACAGATTCGACGGTTGGAGCCGAAACATACAAATGTCACGAGAGAAAAATCCTCCAACGCGGCCGCCCCTCCAAGCGCGCGCCCTGGCGCCTCAGGATTCAGGCTTCGGGGTTTCAGCGCTCAACCCTACACCCACGCACCAGGTCGTGCATGTGCTGCAGCGCCGACAGCACGTCGTGCATCAGTTGCCGCGCGTCGTCCTCCCGCAGGCTGAGCCGCTGCTTAGCTGTCAGGTACGAGTAGGCGTCGCTCTCGCCTGGCGCCGCAGGAGCAGAGCGGGCAGGGCGGAAACGTGGAAAGGGACGATGAGGGTACAGGACGTAGTTTTCGTAGTGCTGGCTGGTGCTGGCTGGTGAACGCTGGGTCCATCTATGGGTGGGTCTGGAAGGCTGACATGACCTCGTTCCTCATGCCTGTGAGGGTGCTGCTGCAGTACAGGCCACAAGGCAGCGTCGCATCATGGTCGGCGGCCGAGGAGGAAACCCCACGGGCTGACGGCCCCGCGTGCCCGCGGCCGAACAGGCGCCACGCTCCCGCGGCGGGCGCGCTCCGCCGCGCGCAGCACAGGCGCACCACTGCTCACCTCCACAGGGGCACCCCTTCCAGGAGCGCCTCCGCCCACTGCGGCGCCCTCCCTCTCCCAGTCCTTGCGCCGCATCACAACTCCGACCTCCCCCCTTGCCCCAGCCCACCGCCCCCTGACCCATCCCCTCACCCGCATACTCCATGAACAATCCCACGCTGCCCTCATCCTCGGTGGCCAGGTAGGCCTGGATGACGTTTGGGTGGTCCAGCAGCGCCGTGTGCAGGTCCCACTCCATCTTGAGCTGCCGGTCGGGGTTTCGTTTATTGGCCCGCTCAGAGTGTGTGTGTATGTGTGTGTGTGTGTGGGTGGGTGTGTGTGTGTGTGTGTGTGTGTGTGTGCTCATGCGCTGCAACATCAGATGCCATCAGCGCCCGCTCACCTTCTGCTGGAGGTCTGGCCGCTGCAGCAGCTTCGACTTTTTGAAGGATTTGATCACCAACTTGTGGGGTCCGCTGGGGGCACCATCCAAGGCAGCCTGCAAGGCACAAGATGGGAGGGGGGTGAGAGAGCGCTTCGCAGGCGAGGTGACGCAGCCCGCCACTGACGCCGCTGCCATCGCCGCCGTGCGTCACAAAGGCAGGCGGCGGCGGCGCGCGCCGCCGCCGCACCTGGGTCGCCGCTGCTTTTGGGGTTGCGATCTGGATGCTGCTGTAGTCGGCATCATACACCTCCTCCAAAGTGAAGCTTTTCAGAAGGTTGGATCTGGGAAATGGGAGACGGGCGGCACACACAACCAAGTGCGCGTCGGCGCGCGCAGGCGACGCGAGGGCCGAGCAAGGACTTCCCTGGGCCGCGAGCGCCGCGGCAAACTTCCATCTGGGGCGATGTGGCGCCCGGCAGCGCCATGCCATTGCCCATGCGGGGGCCGCGCAGCTCTGGCGGGAATCGATGGGAATCCTTCGGTTGGGTCGGCGCTCGCTGCGGGCGCCATGCTCGGCGTGGCCCAGCCGCCACTGTATGTTGCGCAAAAAATTGCTTCCCACCTGCTGCGGGAGCTCTTCAGCCATACAGGGCACCGAGGCGTGAACTTGGCGCGCGACGCAAATATGGTGGGCGCCTTCGCCGGCGGAGCCGGCGCTGGCGCCACCTCTGCTGCTACCTGCGCCGTACTGATATATGCTACTGCCTTAAGATTCGACCTGCCGCGTCCCCACACTCCGATGGCCTGCAGCGCGGCGCCACCCAACGATCTACTCGCCGTTCTCATCACCAGCGTATGAAAAGATGGGATACAGCGTATCCACGGTTTAAATATGTGTACGCCTGGCGCTGTGATCCGGTCGCGCCTGAGTACAGTAACACAAGAGCTACAGTATCATGTTGTACTATATGTGAGAAGGCTCAGTCTGATGGAATACATATCATTTGACATCTGTTGGACCCTGTACCGTATTGCTGTGCTGTTCACTGTCGGCACTCGCTCGCGGCACTGCCGCAGCAGCGTGGGGTGGTGTTGATGCTGCTGTTGTTGTGCCTCAAGAAGCTCGGCAATGAGCATGCAACAGACAGCCACTAGACACAGGACATGGCCGAGCGGATGCAGCGCCACACATGCTGGGGTTACTGCAAAATCATTGTGAAAAATTGTGAAGCAGAGGACAGCAGACAACACTTGAGGTAAGCTCAAGCAAATCCTGAGCTGGATGGGCGATTGTGATGTGAATGCATGTGCGCGTAAATGTATCAACCGGGGGTATGCCGGTGATGATTGACGGTTGGTGGCAGCAAAGTGGATAGAGAGGGGGAGCAGGGGCACACCCCAAAGCCTGCAATCGCAAGGCAGGCACCACAACCCCGTAGCACGACACCAACACGGGCACATGCACAGAGAGCGGCGCATGCGTGTTTGCATGTGTATATGCAGCAGGCCGGCCAGCCGAGGCCGCAGCACGTTGTTGAGTCCCATCTGTGATGCACACACAAGGAATGAGCCCCAAACCGCCAGGCGAAGGAGCCAACGCACGGCAGTGGCCGCCGCCGCCCCCTCGAATCCCGCGCCCCCATCAGAGGTACATCGGCATGGACCGCCACCCGTCCTCCCGCCGCTTGGTGCCCGCGCCCGACCCATACTTCGAGCTCCACTCCTCGAACTTCGCATTGAGCCCAAAGTCCGTCGAGGCCACGGACTGCAGCGCCGCCTCAAAGTCCGCGAGGACCACGGGGCGCATGGAGTCCGCTGGCAGGGACAGCAGCTCGTCGACAGTCCAGGTGTCCTTGGCGCCGCTGCTGCCGCTGCCGCCACTCCCCTTGTCATCGTCCTTGGCCCCGCCGCCGCAGGCGTCTGCAGGAGCAGCGCCAACCTTGCTGGCGCGCCGGCTGTTGCTTGGCGACGCGCATGGCACACCGGCCTCCTGCTGCTGTTGCTTCTGCTGCTGACGCGGCTTTTCTGGGGACTGTTCTTGGCTAGGCGAGGGCGAGCCGGTGGCGTCTCCTTCGGCCGCTGAGCCGCTGCTGCCGGCGGCCGCCCCCTCCTGCTGCTGCTGCTGCTGCTGCTGCTGCTGCTCATCCTCGGCCTTCTGGCCCTCCTGGCCCTGGGCGTGCTGCTGCTGCTCGAGCTCTCCCTGCTGCTGCTGCTGCTGCTGCTGCTCGCCGCCGCTGGGCTTGGGGCTCGCTTTGCCGCCGGCCGCGCCGACGCCCGCAACCTGGGCCTCCGCCTCGCAGATCACGCCCTCCACGTCGCACCACGCCGCCGCCCCCTCCGCCCGCTTCCACTTCTCCAGCTCCTTCCGCATCCGCCGCCGCGGCACGCCGCGCCGCAGCGCGGCCGCGACCGCCGACACCAGCTGCCGGTGCCGCTGCGCGTGCCGCGGCGCGCCGCCCTCGAGCACGCGATTGCCCCATAGCTCCCGCAGCGGCCGCATCGACGCCTCGCGGCAGACCTGCATCAGGTCGCGCCCGCTGTACCCCTCCGTCCCCGCAGCCACGGCCCGCCAGTCCGCGTCCCCCATATCGCACGCGACGCCCGCCATCGCGCCGCGCGCGATGTCCACGCGCGCGCGCGGGTCGGGGAGCGGGACCAGCACGCGCGCGGAGAAGCGGCTCAGCGCTGCCTCGTCGAGCTCCCACGGCGCGTTGGTCGCAGCAATCACAACCACGCGCGCCGCCGCCGCCGCAGCCGCCGCCGCCGCCGCCGCCGCGCCCGCCCCGCCGCCGTTGCCGCCACCACCAGCAGCCGCGTCCGAGCCGCCGCCGGCCGCACCGTTGCCGTTGCCGTCGCCGGCGGCGGCGGCCGTGTGTATCCCATTGATGTACGAGAGGAACTCGTTCGTGACCCTCCTGCTGGCCTCGCTGGCGCCGCCAGGTCCGTCGCCGCCGGAGCCCGCGCGGCGGCCGAGCAGCGAGTCGACCTCGTCGATAAAAATGACGGCCGGCGCGAGGCGCCGCGCGTCCTCAAACAGGCGCCGCACGTTGGCCTCGCTCTCGCCGTACCATTTTGACAGGATGGAGGAGCCCGTCACGGGGAGGAAGGCCTGCAGGCGGGTGTGGCGGAGGGATCGGGGGAGGGGGCTGGGAGCGTGGCGAGAGCGGTCAAGGAGGGCGTGTAGGGGTCGCCCGGGTTGGCGGTGGGCCGAGAGATGTTCGCTCCCACAGCCCTCACTGCAAGCAGCAGGTGCAAAAAAACGTGCGCGCACAGCCGTGCCGCCCATTCACACGTGACGGTGTCGGGACACAAGCTGGAGACCCCCTTCGGGTCTCCCCCCCGGCCCCGTGCCGCCGAAAAGGCACCCACCGCGCCGCTCTCCGCCGCGACAGCGCGCGCCAGCATCGTCTTGCCCGTGCCCGGCGGCCCGTACAGCAGCACGCCGCGCGGCGGCTCCCGCACGCCGCCAAACAGGTCAGGGCGCAGCAGCGGCAGCACCGTCGCCTCCTGCAGCAGCATCTTCACCTCCCGCAGCCCAGAGATCCGCGCCCAGCTGTCCGCCGCGCCGCCGGCGCCGCCCCCCGCCCCGCCGCCGCCGCCCGGCC